TTCAGTGGTCTGGAGAACTGTAGGGTTTGCAGGAAAATTCAAACTTTCAGTGTCTTACCATGCAGATATCTCCTTGATAACAAGCTCATGGACAAGTCTGTGGAAAACTGTACCTCTGACAAAATGAAAATCAAGCACTTGGTGTTTGTTTTGATGATACTCTTGATTGGCAAGGCCAAGAATCCAGAAAATAAGCTGTAGGCTTGTATCCACAAAGCCCATATGCATCTTTCTATTTTCATTTATTGGGACCTTAAAAACAGTAACAGCTTCTTCATTTCTTCCTTCTAAATATCATGCAAATGAGGTTATTTGCAAATTCAAATATGGAACCAGAAAGGGAAGGGATTCTGGCAAATGCAGTTCCTAACATTATCCACATTGATATAACACAATCCAGAAGAAGTTGAGACTGCACTCTTTGAAGAACTTTGCATAATTACAATTTTCTGCCAATTATTTATTAGGAAAATGGAATAAGACTCCTTTTACCAAAAAATAAAATACTCTCCCAGTAAGAAAGTTGGAAAATATAATAGGCAAGTGACATCCTATATTTGCCACACTAAGTCAGTTAAAAGAGAAGAAGAAAAAAAAAAGAAATACTAAATTGTCATTGTTTCAATAACCCCTTATTTAGAGAACAATTTAAGAAACTAAATAGAAATTAGGCCAGCTGCCAAAATTAAAACAAAAAAGAAACTAAATAAAAATTAAACCTATGTATATTAAAAATACACTGCAAATCACCCATGAGTCCAACAAGCTGTAAAGACTAAAGTTTTATTTCCTGAATTGTAAGAAAAAACAATACCTGCGAAAATTCATGTACTATAGCTATGATTAGTTAGAACTATTTTCCCCTAAATGTCTATTTGTGATTAAACTATAAACACCCTCCTTATGTGTCCACTTTAAGGATGAGGTACTCATAAAGGCAATATCATATTTCTAGGGTTTATAAGATTACTCTCCTGGTGTGAGTTTTCTGAAAGGCTACACAGTAATTCATCTGCAGGAAGATGTCCCACATCACACCTGTAGTGTTTTCTTGCAGTGTGCATTCTCACGTGTCTTCTTAAGGATGAGGAATAATTGAAGGCTTTCCCACAGTGCTCACATGTATAAGGTTTCTCTCCAGTGTGCAGTCTCATGTGTACTGGTAAAGATTATGGCCATTTGAAGACTTTCAACATTCTTTACATTCATAAGGTTGCTCTACAGAGCATGTCTCATATGTTGTTGTAAGCGTTTAGGCCACCTGAAGGCTTTTCCACAATGTGTGCATTCACAGAGTTTCTCTGCAGTGTGCCTCCTCATGTGTTTTTGTAAAGATATGTAGCAGTAGAAAGCTTTCCCAGACAGCTTGCACTAGTGCAATTTGTCTTCAGGATGCATTCTAATGTGTTCTCAAGGCAGGCAAACTGAAGGCTTTCCCGCACTGTTTTCATTCATAGGGTTTCTCTCTAGTGTGTGTTCTCATATGCTTTCGTAAGGATATGGGCCAATTAAAAGTTTTCCCACACTGTGTGCTTTCATAGGGTTTTTCTCCACTACACACATGTCCTCAAAAGGATGAGATGAGGGTTGACTGAATGTTTCCCCACATCGATTATATTCATAGGGCTTCTCTCCATCATGAGTCCTTTCATGTCTCTGAAAGGACTGGGGATAAATGAAGGCTTTCCCACATTGTTTGCATTCATAGTATTTCTCTCCAGGGTGCATGTATCATGTGTCTTCAAAAAACTGAGGAACAACTGAAGGCTTCCCCACATTCCTTACATTTATATGGCTTCTCTCCAGTGTGACTTCTCAAATGACTAGTAAGACTTGAAAAATCAATGAAGGCTTTCCCAGATTGCTTACATTCATAGGTTTTCTCAGCAGTGTCAATCTCTATATGCTGATTGAGGGAAGACATATCAGGAAAGGTTTTCCCACATAATTTACAAGCATAGGGTCTCTCTCCACTGTGGGTTCTAACACAAATCACCCATGAGTCCAACAAGCTGTAAAGACTAAAGTTTTATTTCCTGAATTGTAAGAAAAAACAATACCTGCGAAAATTCATGTACTATAGCTATGATTAGTTAGAACTATTTTCCCCTAAATGTCTATTTGTGATTAAACTATAAACACCCTCCTTATGTGTCCACTTTAAGGATGAGGTACTCATAAAGGCAATATCATATTTCTAGGGTTTATAAGATTACTCTCCTGGTGTGAGTTTTCTGAAAGGCTACACAGTAATTCATCTGCAGGAAGATGTCCCACATCACACCTGTAGTGTTTTCTTGCAGTGTGCATTCTCACGTGTCTTCTTAAGGATGAGGAATAATTGAAGGCTTTCCCACAGTGCTCACATGTATAAGGTTTCTCTCCAGTGTGCAGTCTCATGTGTACTGGTAAAGATTATGGCCATTTGAAGACTTTCAACATTCTTTACATTCATAAGGTTGCTCTACAGAGCGTGTCTCATGTGTTGGTTGCAAGCGTTTAGGCCACCTGAAGGCTTTTCCACAATGTGTGCATTCACAGAGTTTCTCTGCAGTGTGCCTCCTCATGTGTTTTTGTAAAGATATGTAGCAGTAGAAAGCTTTCCCAGACAGCTTGCACTAGTACAATTTGTCTTCATTATGCATTCTAATGTGTTCTCAAGGCAGGCAAACTGAAGGCTTTCCCGCACTGTTTTCATTCATAGGGTTTCTCTCTAGTGTGTGTTCTCATATGCTTTCGTAAGGATATGGGCCAATTAAAAGTTTTCCCACACTGTGTGCTTTCATAGGGTTTTTCTCCACTACACACATGTCCTCAAAAGGATGAGATGAGGGTTGACTGAATGTTTCCCCACATCGATTATATTCATAGGGCTTCTCTCCATCATGAGTCCTTTCATGTCTCTGAAAGGACTGGGGATAAATGAAGGTTTTCCCACATTGTTTGCATTCGTAGTGTTTCTCTCCAGGGTGCATGTATCATGTGTCTTCAAAAAACTGAGGAACAACTGAAGGCTTCCCCACATTTCTTGCATTTATATGGCTTCTCTCCAGTATGACTTCTCAAATGACTAGTAAGACTTGAAAAATCAATGAAGGCTTTCCCAGATTGCTTACATTCATAGGTTTTCTCAGCAGTGTCAATCCGTATATGCTGATTGAGGGAAGACATATGAGGAAAGGTTTTCCCACATAATTTGCAAGCATAGGGTCTCTCTCCACTGTGGGTTCTAACATGCATTCTTAGGTGTGAATGACAACCATAGGCCTGCCCACTTTCCTGGCACTGATACAGTTTTTGTCCAGTGTGAACTGTGATGTGACTCTTGAGGGATGAACAATGCATGAAGACCTTTCCATAGGCACTGTATCCATACTGGTTTAGTCCGGTAGGAATTTTCTTGTATGGGTTAAGATTTGGAATCTGGCTGAAGACTTCTCCATATTGATCAACATTTTCAGTGTCTCTCCACCATGTAATTTCTATTACAAATGAGAAGCATGTTATTAGTGAATTAATAATTAGTTATTAGTATTTATTAATAAGTATTAGGATTTCATTTTAGGTAGGTTTTTCAGTGTAAGTGTAGGTTTTCTACACTATCTGCATTGTTTGAAGGGGGATAAGCTGCTCTGCAAGAGCATTTGACCACTGCTATTATTAAAGTTGTTTCTAATACATGGGGTTTCTAAATAATTGTTTCCAACTGAATTATGTTTCCAACACTCAATGTCTAAGTCACATTTACAGAAATAGTTTTTGCAAAAATTCTGTGAATAAATTTGGAGCTAGGCTTACATGAGTTTTCTGTTTGCTACATTTTTAAATTTTGTAATATACTAAGTAAGATTCTCTCCTGGAATACTGTTTACTCTTGAGTGTGACTCACCTCAGATTTCTCCCCTCCTTGTGTGTTGATCTTCAGTGCAGAGGTCTTCCCCAATTTTTCCTAAAACAGAGGACCAGGAATCATTTATTTTATTTTAACTTCAATTTATTTATTTATTTATTTATTTATTTATTTATTTATTTATATTTATTTATTTATTTATTTATTTATTTATTTATTTTTGTCAATATACAATGTGGTTGATTATTGTGGCCCATTACCAAAACCTCCCTCCCTCCTCTCTGTCCCCCCAGGTATCATTTCTGGTGAACTTTGCTACTTTAGGTTCCTTAGTTACTTTTTTTCCATAAATACCCTGCTGATAAACTAACCTATTGACCATAAATTGAGTTTCATCATCTGAAACAAAAACGTGAACACATAGTATGAAAAACAAGGCACCTGGTAGCCAAAGAAGACAAAAGGCATTTAGTTTTTTCAGGACTTCATCAAGCACAAGGGGTCAAAATGGCAAGCAATTTAATGAGCACAATAACATCTTCACTGGACTGCAAAAACAAACTTCCCTGGGCCACGAAACATATCCGTAAGGATGGCACTAAGGGAGCTTTCTTTGTGGGAAGAAAATCTCCCTTTAATACATCGATTCTCGTTCTCACAGAACAACTATTAGATTCTTGCTCCATGACAGCCATGACCATGTCTGTCTTACTTACCAGTGTACTGTACTGCCTTTCCACAATCCAAGTCTTGGAACAGGCTTGATGTGTAAGAAATACTTGATCACTAAATGACTAAGTGAAGGACGATGCCATCCTTACCTATTGAAGCCAGGTTCTGAAAACTTTTGAAAATCACATCTCTGTAGTGGTCCCTCTGATCACAATCCAGCACAGCCCACTCCTCCAGAGTCAAGTCCACAGCCACATCCTCAAAGACCACTGAGTCCTGAAACATCCAACATATGTGCAGGAGCATAGCTGAGACTGGAAGCACGGGTACCGTACTCCATCCATACACAGTGCACACATGGTGCTGTGGCCTCCCAGCATCTGCCCTGTGGCTCTTGTCAGACCTCGTCCTCTGTCTACACTCACTTCCTCATAGGTTTAACAGCACCACTAACACATTGAACTAGACCCTACATCTTCACTAGGACCACTTCAGGACTTATTCCTATCTATCAAAAGGGTTTAGACCACATTGGAGATATCAAAGAAATGCCATCCAAATGAAACAAATACTTGCATTTTAAGGCCAACAATCCCTTGTGACACAAACTTTTTTCATCTCCCTCCCTACTGCACACTATATCACTCAGCACTCCATGAAGCACAGAGTCAAACCCAGATGAGGTTTTAAGGTTTATGAAAGCACACTGAAGGACTGGGAACTTTCCCTTCTCTTCCTTTCTGCACACATGAGGCCAAGGGATCTGTGGGGACTCAACTTGCAGCAAGGGCCAGGAAGCCACAGTGTCTTAAAGAACTCCAGGCCCAATTGGCTGAATGAAAACAGCCTTTTAGAGAAGCACTAATCTTAACTTATTCATGAAATAATTATCATTGGTTCAGCCTCTACTTTTTCTCTATGTGCATTTTCATTGAAACAGGAAGTTATTGAGAAATCAGACCTCAGGAAAGAAGGAAAAGCTGTGAGAATTTAGACCTCAGCACATTCTCTACACCCCCTGAACCTGAACCTCAGTGCTGAAGCCCACCAGTGTTTATTTTTTAATCTAATTCAACTTTGAGTTCTCTCTCTCACTCTCTCTCATTGTCTCTCTCTCTCTCTCTCTCTCTCTCTCTCTCTCTCTCTCGCATACACACAAAGTACACACAGAGTGAGAGTATAAAATTTGCAAACAGCTCTTTTCACCAGAGCCATGAAAGTGTATTATTGCTAACCTCAATGCTAAGGTTAAGAGCCTCACTTTGTGAAGAAGTTAACTGAAGCTGAAAACATTTGACTGTGAATTTACCATATGATAAAAGACATGAAGGATTAAGCAGTGCTTTCCTTTCAAACACTCCCTTATTTCAAATTCCAGGAGAAAGCAATTCCCCACATACCACCCTGGAGGCTGCACTCTCTTTCTCATTTTCATATCCCATATTGGACACATGAGCATGACCCCCCAAGCCCTGAACACAGGAACCACCGAGAGGCATGGTACCTTTGAACTCTGGTTTCTCAAGAAAGCTCACCAACCCACCAACATCCATGAGTGGGGGACAAAAAATTCTGTCGTGCAACAGTTCTGATGCTAGCATTTACCTATTTGGCAGCAGAATAATGAAAATACCCTATTATTGGTACAGGGAACAGCAGAAGTCCCTTGGGTCTGCCTCCATTGCTCTTAGTACAGTGCATCTGTAGTGTTTTCTCATCATAAAGTTCCCTTGCCTAGTGTGCAAAAAAGAGCTAACATTGTAGGCCTTAGAACTTTACCTTCAGAAAGGCTTGCTGATGATGCTGCCCTCGGCTGGTGCTGTTGGATTGAATTGTGTCCTCCAAAATCCATCTATTAGAAACTCAACCTCCACGGTGATAATGTTAAGTGGGTGGGAAATCCTATTATGGTCATTGAAAAGTGTGGCCTTAAAGAGGTGAGCAGATTGTTAGGACCATGCCCTAGTGAGTAAATGGATTAATAAGTTGATGATTTAATGGTGGTCATGGGTGTGGCTCTGACAGCTTTAAAATGAGAGTGCTTGAGGAGCTTGCCCTCTCTCTCTGCTTCTGCCATCTGACATGTGACACCCTGCTTTGCTGTGAAGAGTCACTGGCAAGGTTCTCACCAGACCTGTTCTCTGGACTTTGGTCTTCCCATCTTCTGAAACTGTAAGCAGTACATATTATTACTTTACAAATTACCCGGTTAGAGGTATATCAGTTATAAGCAACAGAAACAGACTAATACAGCTGCTGTCTGGGAACCTGGGTTTCGGGAGGGTTCACACCATGCTCACTACTATGCAAGCTACACTGTCAGTGCTGAATGCCTGCTTTCCTTCTGGAAGTCTGGCAGTTTGGTACATGCCAGGCAGAGGATGCTTACATGATCAGGCAGCAGTAAAAATCCTGGGCACTGAGT